AATCAGTTGAGACTCAGATCATGGATCTGAAGATTTAGAGCTTGAAGGAATTTCAGAAGTCATCTAGTCCACCCCTCCCCCATTTTTTGAGGCATTTGCCCAAGGTCTCACATGTTCTAAGAGGCAGCGCCAGGATTCAAACCCCAGCCCTCCAATTCCAAATCCAGGACTCTTTCCATCCCACCATGACGACTCGAACACAATATTTCCAGACTCACACCAGCTAAGAAATCAGGTGATCTGCTTGATCTTCCACCATATGTAAGTGACATGAGAAAATCATAGTGTCACAAAACTTGGGTTTGTCATTTGCCAGCTTTGTGATCCTGGACAATTCACTTAACTTCTCTGAGCCTCAGTTTCTTCATCTGTACAGTGTACATAATACTGTGGAAAGCACCCTGTAAATCACTTTACTTTCTGTGCATTCTCATGAGAATCATGACCTCTCTGGGTCTCAGTTTCTCTATCTGAAAAAATGAGGAGCCCAGGATATGTGCCATCTTCTTGTTCTAGACCTATAATCCCATGAATTCAAAGGGCTATATAACAAAGTTACATAAGAATTTTCTTTCCTGAGCAAATCATGGCAGCCTTACAAAACTCTGCACTTTTGGGGTGTCCAGATCTGTGATTTCCACTCATCCAGGGAAGTCCCAGTATGCAACTTCATTCCATCTGCTGCAGGAAAGCAACTCACCTTTAATGGACAGTAAGTCATAGCAAATGGGGGTGGGGGGAGAGGAGATCTGTCAGGTTCATGGTCAAAAAGTCCATGGTCACAAAGTAGAGGGTCAAGGGCAGGGTGCAGACACCAGGGTTTCCAGACTCCAAGGCAAGCCAAGATATTGCATCACTTGGCTTCCAGTTTTACACGGAGAAGAAAAAAAAGAACTACCCCAAAAGTATAAACTGTGAAAATTTCCCATACTTCTATACCATGGAGGGGGGGGTGTGTGTGTGTGTGTGTGTGTGTGTGTGTGTGTGTGTGTGTGTGTGTGTGTATCTGCTATGTAACACAGAGCGCTGGGACTGCAGTCTGAAAGACCTGAGTTCAAATTTGGCACCAGATACTTCCTCAATGTTTGACTGAATGTCTCTCAGCCTCAGTTTCCTCACCTGTAAAAATGGGGATAATAGCTTACTTCATAGGATTGCTAAGGATCAAAGATAATATTTGTAGAGCACTTAGCACAATGCCTGGTATACAGTAGGCACTTAATAATATTTGTTTTCTTCCCTCCTATTTAGTTACACTCACTCAGTAACAGTAAATAGCTCTACTCTGCAGAAAAAAACAAAACCAACCGCCTCCATCATATAATTTGGGCTGTCCCTCCCCAACATCATTTCTTTCAGATGAATTTGACGGTTTCCTGGACCTTGCTGCCACCCTCATTCATTTATTTGTGGTCATGTATCCTCCCGCTGTCCACCCTGGCCAGCTTGCTAGAGAATGCTGCCCATCCCCACCCCTACTTTCCCTCTCTAGCTTTGGGCTCAGAAATCAAATCATCATTCCTGGAAAGAACATGTCAGTCGATTACTCGATAGCGTTAGTCACCATCCCTGTGACTTCCTGAAACACTATTCCTCAGGACATGTTTCCCCATATTAGAATGTGAGCTCCTTGAGGGCAGAGACCTCTCAATTCTGTGTTTGTTTGTATCCCCAGCTTAGCACAGGGTAACACATTCATCCATCCATCCCATTCATTTGTTCGTTCATTCATTCACAGCAGAGTGGAGGGAATGCTGGACTTGGAATCCCAGGACCTGGCTTTGAATCCTGACTCTGTGACTTCCCAATTCTCTGATCCTCCATGGCTCATTCCTCCTGGCTGAGGCTCAGTTTCCTCTTCTGTAAAACTAGGATACTCATCTTTCTACTGCCCACTCCACATGATGGATTCAACTAACGAATATGTTTTGTTTTTGTTTTTTTGAAAGTGCTTTGGAAATGAGAGTTATTAGGAAGATGCTCCAAGGGAGGTGGGAAATTGTTGGACCACTGAGGACCTGGAGCGAATCTGGAAGCAATGACCAGGAGGCTAGTTAGCTTCTTCCTCCGAGATCTAAAGATTTAGAGCAAGAACGGACCTGCAGGATCTTCCCCCGCAAGGCAGGCTTCACCACCTTCCTTTGTGTCCTGGACCCCTTTGGCAATTGTCTGGAGCCTCTAGACCCCTTCTCTGAACCCCATTTTGTTGCCTGCATTTATGACTAAAGCCCAGCCAAGTTCCCAGATGCCCTGAAATCCATCCACACACTGGGGTTCTATGACCCCAGGTTAAGAACTCCTGGTTCAGTGCAATCCCCTTATTTTACAGAGGAGAAACTGAGGCATGAAGGGAAGGGACTTGCCCACTTCGTGTAGCTAAAATGTCATTCCTCTCGCTGTGCTGACCCCAAATGCAATGCACATCCTAACTGATCACACAAATGGGACAGTGTGAGTGGTTTCCTTAAGCCAGCCATCTCTGCAGCCCCTGGTCCATGGGCATGTAAAGGCAGGAAGTTTCTTCTATGCAATAGAGTCCTTGCAAATTCTGGTCTATGGTCAGTGCCAGGAGAATAGTAGTCAGAGTCTTTGGCAGTGGGTATAAGCATTCATTAACCACAAAGTCAACTTCTCAAACTCCTTTCCTCCTAAGACATGAGTCAAGGCAGGAAGGCACGATTGTCATCAAACCAGTATCTAATGAGCCCAAGAGGCATTTTGCAAGAGACAAGTCTACACTTTCATGGAAGGCAATGAAAAAAAAAAGGTATTGCATATTACAAACAACTAAATTTACCCAGAAGAGAAAAAACAGCATTCTTACAGACTATGATAACAGCCTACAATCCAACCTTTGCAAGATTAAGAATTCTGCATGTCTGGCATTTTGAATCCTCCCAATTCTACAGCTTGCCTAACTCCCCAGAAAGGAAAAAAATATGCAAAAGAAATCTGAAACATACAAACTGTTTGAGATGGTAGATTCAGAATTGGAAGGGACTTGTGAGGTTACTGGAGAGAAACATCCTGGGGAAGTGGGTTGGGGAGGCAGCCTTGGAGTCAGGAAGACCTGCGTTCACGGGCTGCCTAGGACACATATTAGCCATGGGATCCTCTCCATGGCCCTCAGCTGGTAACCCACTGAGACTCTAAACTGCAGAAAAGATCAGCATTGGTAGAGAGAGATTCCTCATAGAGAGTTCCTTACACCAACAAAATCAGAAGCCCAGAAAAACAAACAAACACACAAGCAAAAACATAGCTCCTGCCCTCAGTTAGCTTATCCTCCAACCTCAGGAAGGATTGAGCAGCTTGGTTTAGTGGGAGAGCAGGAGCTCTGGAGCCAGAGGAGCTATGTTCAAATCCTACCTCTGAGTCTTACAATGGGTATAATTCAAGGCCCTTGCTAGTCCTAAGCATCCTTATCTGCAAAACAAAGGGGTGACCATCTCTGCAGTCCCTTCCAGTTCTGGATCCGTAGTCCTAGGAGCTGGTCCAACACAGACTTGCCTAAGATCATACAGGCAGGAGGGGGATTTGAATACTGATCTTCCGAATGAGTACACTTCCCACTGGACTACCCCATTCAATCCTTCTTGAGGTTGGATTATAAACTAGCCGGGGGCAGATACAATATAGTTTTTCATTTCTGCAACCCCATCACCTGGCAGGGTACATGGTAGGTGCTTAATAGATGCTTATGAACTGGATTCAAAAGGATCCTTTGGTCTTAAAGGCACAGGAGAAGACCTGGCTTCAGTTACTTGATGATCAAACAGGAAAGCTAAGTCTTCGTTGTCTCACTACTTGGGTTTCTAACATAAACAGAGCCACTACTGAAGAAATTCTTAGGCACAATTATTAATCATGAATGTCACGGAGCAGGAGTGCGAGGGTGAAAGGTTCAGCTACAGAATTCCTACACTCTACACCTGCCCTGCCAGGCTCTCTGACAGTGGAGACTGGCTCAGCTCTGGCTCCAAGAGCCTGGCTGAGGAAGGGGGCAGATCCAAGCAGGGGGGTCAAGAGCTGGCATCCATTTCAAAATAAATCAAACAGGGGCATAGAGGTGGCACAGTGGATAGAGCACTGACCTTGGAGTCAGGAGGACCTGAGTTCAAATCTGGCCTCAGACGCTGGACACTAGCTGTGTGACCCTGGGCAACTCACTAAACCCCAATTGCCTCACCAAAACAAACAAACAAACAAAAAAATAATGAATCAAAAGTCCCTCCAAACAGCCCTTGCCTTCGACAAAGCCCATCTTCAAAATGTGCGTCCTAATGGGGTGTGCTCAAGAGTTTAAAAAAAAAACCCAAAACTCTAAGAGCTCTATTTTTGAAACACAGGGAAAAGTCACTTCACTTCTGTCTGTCTCAATTTTCTCAACTGTAAAATGGAATAACAGCACCTACCTTCCAGGACTGTTGTGAGGATCAAATGAAATAATATGTACAAATCACTTAGCACAGTGCCTGGCCCATAACAGGCGCTTATTAAATGCCTGTTTCCTCTACCCCTCCCCCCCAAAAAAGGAGAGGAATGATTGGTTGCAGAAGAGCTAACAACCAAATAATCAACAAGCATTTATTAAGCACCTACTATATACTAGGCCCTGGAGACATAAAGGCAAAAGTGAGATATTCACTTGAAGAAGCCAACATGCATACATATAAATATGTGTAAAATATTAGTGTATAAAGACTGAACCAGTGAGTCACTGACATAGGAAGCTCCTATCTATGCAGTTTGACATCTTATTTATAAAGTGCTTAACATGATACTTGGCACCCAGTAGGCACTTAATAAATGCTTGTTCCCTCCCCTTCTCTGTCTAGCCTTAGAGGAACTGCCTAAAGTACTTCCAGGTTAAGTGATTCACCCAGGGTTATTATATAACTGGGATGTAGCACGGGCAGGACTCTCAGATTCACCGCTAGCTCTCCCACTATGCTGGGCTGTCCATCTCTCATACCAAATAGAAGGTAAATACAAATTACTTTCCTGGGGGCAGAGTGAGCTGGGAACATCAGGGCAATCTGATGGAGGGTCTGAAGCAGACAGAGGAAGCAGGCCACTTGGCTCCCACTTCTGTAAAGCCCCACAGAGGGTGATGGGCATGGAGATAAGGCTTCCCTTGAGCAGCATGTGGCAAGGAACCAGAAAACCTTAAGAAAGAAAAGGAAATGATGGACAGGGCTCTTGGTCAAAAGGGAAAGAAATATAGAAGGAAGAAGGACTTCTGGGGAAAGCTTTTTGGAATGAAAAAAGGACTGGGAAAAGTCCCCCAAATAAACCTTTGTCCAGAACTCTGGCTAGCTGCTCCAATCCAAATTCCAAAACCAAAGTAAGAGTTAGTCCTGATTTTAACCTCTGAAACTCTCCTCTTAGTGCGTTTTCTGTTCCCCTTCTCTTCGCTCTTACCAGAGATCTTATCCTTAACTTCTCTCTAAGGGGAGGTCACAGGAGGTCAAGGTCAGAGGAGCCTTGACTGGCCCGTGATCATACAGGTGACTGCAGAGCCAAAATTGGAACTCGGGTACTCTGATTCCCAACCCATCGCTGCTTCCAGGGAACTGTTCTGCTCACCAAGGTCAGATAGGTAGCAAACATCAGAGGACAGATAAAAACCCGGAGTCCTGCCTCTCGGTACGGATGGTTATACTCTCCTCTGCCAGCCACCCATCTGCCTGGCTCTAAGATCCTACCGTTGGCATCTAACATGAGAGGAGGCAGTAACAGCAGGGCGGGAGCAGGGCAGCCTCAGTCTGAGAAATTGTCCATTTGAAAAATTCCCGGCCCTGTCTTAGGACCTAAAACCTTCTAAGCACTAGAATCACGTTTCAAAAGAAAGCCGAGTAGCAATTTCACGCATCCCCTTCCTCCTCATGCCCGACATCATCAAGCTTCATCCTTAAACTGGTTCACTTAATAGAAAAGGGACCTCTCCGACTTTACTTTCCAGTGGTCAAGGGTGAGTTGCACTTATCGGAATGTGGCCCACTGGGGCTTTATCGAGAATTCCTTCTTTTTCCCATACTGTCCCCCAAACCCCGCACATCCTCTGCTCTTTGGAGCCAAGGTCCAGGGATCTCTGCAAGGCATTGTCTCCCCGCCCCCGCGCGACCAGAGGAGTTCGGACCTCTACAGAACAGGGCCTCTCCATCGCACAGCCAAGTGAGCCAAGGGGACTGTACAGGCAGAGACCCCCCTCGGCTGTCCGACTCTGAGAAAGGCAAGAAGCAGGACCCCAGGGTAGACGGGCTGCTCTCTAAGAGGCTTCAGTCTATTTCGCCCCCACCTCGCGCCCATGTTTTTTCATCTCCCAAAGTTATACCAACTGGGAGTGGGTAAGCACTGACGCCTCCACCCAGCAGGGTAAGGAGCAAGCGAACTCCGGCGCCGTCTGGTCCAGTCCGGTCCCAGGCTGGTCCAGGGGAGGTTGGATCAGGCAACCCGCCCCTTCTTTTCCTTCCCTCCCCCGAGCCCCATCTGAAGCCCGAGGAACCCCTAGAAACGCCGCCGGCAGGGGCCCCCAGGGCCGGGTCTCTAGCTCGGGGTACTTACGTCCTACGAAGCTGGGAGGAAGGATCAGGGGAGGATCCACCGAGCCAGCCGCCAGCTGAGGGCGGGGAGACCCAGGGGACGCAGGCACTCCGGCTGGGACGGGCCAAGTGCGCAGGGAGGACACCGGACCAGCCCCGCCCCGCTGCTGCCAGCGCTGCCCCAGCCTCCACACTGCCCGGAAGGCAGCCGGAGCCCGCAGCAGCTGCCCCCGGCCGGCGGCGAAGAGCACTGACGCCGGCCAAGTTCAGCCGTGGCCTCCAGGAACACGCAATGTGGCTACAACGTTGCAGCTTCGGCCCGGGAGCTACTGGAGGTGGCGGCGGCCTGGCGACTGAGAGCCGGAAGTGGGGAGGGGGAGGAGAGGGGACGAGGGGCGGGTCAAGGGCTTGGAGCCTGACGCGCGGCACCTCCCCGGGGTCCTCGGTGCACCTCCTGCCCCCCTACTCTGAAGCATCTAAGGGTTGGGGGATGGGTACTGCCTGCCCGCCCAGGCCAAACCGCGGGGCCTCCAAAGTGCCAATGGCACTTTTCTTTTGCAATGAGCCTGAGGAGTCAGAAAGGAGCTTGCAAAGTGAGGGTCAGCCAGAAGAAACCGGGGAACAGCACTAAAAAGTTGTCTGACCCGGATGAAAAGATGGACGAGCTGCGTCCTTAAGGGCCGATAAGATAGGAGACTGGTATTATCGCTCCCTCCCCTTAGTTCGGGGGGGGGGCTACGGATGTGTAATGCGGTATATACACTGCCCGAAACTCTAGGGCTGGACCAACCCCCCCCCCCATTTTGCAGATGAGGAAGTCAACAAGCCCGCATTAAAGAGTCTCAGGCACTGTGCTAAGCGTTGGGGTTACAAAGAAAGGTAAAAACACTTTCCCTGTTCTCCAGAAGCTCACATTCTAATGGAGGAGTCGCGGGAAATAACCACGTCCATGTGGGTTTCTTTTCCCGTCAGACCTTCCCCTCCTTCTGACTTCCCTATTACTGCGGACACAGCGTTATGCTCCCCTTCAGCCAGACTCAAAGCCCCGGGGGAATCCTCCACTGTCATCCCCACGTCCAATATGCTGCCAGTGCCGGTTGAGTTCACGTTGCTAACGTCCCTGGGATGCTGGCCCCCCTCCTCTCCTCCGATGCTGCCCCTACCCGGGGCAGGCCCTCATCTTCTCCGCCTGGACTACCTCAATCCGTGCTGGGCTGGAGCCGGGGTCCGCCTGCCTCCACTCACTCCTCACCCTTCATTCATGCATTCCATCACTCTTCCAGCCTCCATTCAGGGAGCTTCCCAAAGCAAAAGTCTGACCATGCTTCCCCCCACCACCCCCCAACTCAATAAACCCCAGCGGCAGCCTGTGGCCTCCGGCAGACACCAATTCATCTCTTGCTTGGCTTGGCATTCGAAGCCCTTACAACCTGTCCACACCTCACACCCACCGGACATTCTCTGGGCCACTGTCGTTCTCCGTGTTTGTGCCTTTACGGAGACAGCCCATCTCCCGACTCTGGGCACTTGCCCTGGCTGTGCCCCATGCCTGGAATGTTCTCTCCTCATCTCCTCCTTCTTCAAGCCTTAGCTAAAATCCCCCCTTCTAGAGGAAACCTTCTCCCATCCCCCTTAATTCTAGAGCCTTCCCTCTGGTGATTCTCCCCCATGAGACTGCAAGCCCTTTGGGAGCAGGGGCTGCTCACCTTTTGCTTGGTATCCCCAGCGCTTGACACAATGCCTGGCACAGCAGGCACTTAATGTTTATTGACTGACTGCTAGATACAGAATCAGTAGAAGGAACTCAGAAGGCAGGCGGTAGCAGTTAAGTGGAAAGCTGGGAGGCATCCTGTAGAAGTACGCCAGGGGATCTTAGAGCCAAGGCATGGGGGGGGGCGGGAAGGGGAGTGCCCCGAAGGGAAGGGGGGAGGAGTCAGAGCTTGTGAATGCTCTGTTACTGTCACAGGAATAGGTGCACCTTGTGGTTCCACATTGGTGAGGGAAAATGAAAGTTGTAAAAGATTGTAAAAATACAACTATCTGCGAGAGGACACTTGGACCTAATGGCTTGAGTCGAGAAGCCCTGGGTCCAAGCCCCATCTCTGACTTGTTCTAGCTGGGTGACCATGACAACGGCTGGAGCTGGATCAGGAAGACCCGACTTCAAATCCAGCCTCCCATACTCACTAGCTGTGTGACCCTGGGCAAGTCACTTAGCCTTGGACTGCCTTAGTTTCCTCATCTGTTAAATGGGGATCATAATAGCTCCTACCTCCTGGGGTTGTTGTGAGAATAAAATGAGATTTTTGTAAAAACTCCCTGCAGCCCTCAAAATGCCAGATTCAAATTTTCTGCCTCCTACGACCTGCAGGATCTTAGGCAAGTTATCTGTAAAATGAGGAGTCAGACGACCTGATGTTACTTCTAAATCTAATCTACAGTGTTAATTATGTAAAATACCATGTGATCCTTAGAGCACCATATAGACGTGAGCATTATTAGGAGGCTCAGAGAGGCTGCAAGCACCAGGGCTGAGACTGAGTCCAAGGCTGTCTGCATGACACTGGCTTTTAATGGGTCACTAATAAGAGTGAAAACTATTTTTTAAAAGATTTTAAAAGTTAAAAAATTAAAGCGTGGTTCCTAGGGCAATGCAAGCGTGTTTCACTAATGCAAAGGGAAGCTTGGCATTATAGATGGAGTGGAGAGTTGGAGGGTGTTCCCCTCAGAGGCGCAGCAACTGGGTTCTGACTCCTGCTTGAATTCGAATTATTGACTCTATGACCTTGGACAAGTGACTCCACCAATCTGGGCCTCAGTTTCCTCATCTGTAAAATGAAGGGGACTGACTAGATTCCTGGGGTCTCATCCAGCAGCAAACCCTGTGATTTCATGACAAACAAAACAAATTTTGAACTTGTTAGCACAAAAGACGGGGAAACCTAATAAATGAAGCGATTCCCCCAAGTTTACCCTTGTCTGAAGCTCTGAAAAAAGCAGAACCAGGGCTACGCTTTATACAGAACTAGAAGGAGCCCCGATAAGAGACCCTGGCACATCGAACAGTACAAAATTGGCCTTTTAGGGAAGAGTGAAGCTGGAAACCTGGTGGTTTAGGTGGTTTTAAATTGTTCCTTAAATCTGTAAGTGGCAAAGCTGTCTGAAGATTTCCAAGTCCTTCAATTACCATCAGTTTCTTTGGAAACGTCAGTTACTTTGGTAGCAACTAGGAATATGGAAATAGGCTCCTTCCAAAGCAGGGTTCAGGAGCTATGCCAGTGAGGGTCAGTGGCCCCACTGGGAACTGTTGGGGTAACGTAGAGTTCTGTGTGGCGGAATTAATTTATGGGACTGATATTCTAGTATGTACATGAACGTCCCAGCCAGGTCCTGGGGCCCTGATGATACAGCCAGGGTGGGAGAGGTTTGACTCATCTGGTCAACCATCTGGTCTGAAGGATAGAGAGTATGATCTGTCCAGCCACTGTGGCTTATCTTGCCAGAGATGCAACAGCTGGACCTCAAAAGCCTGCTGCTTAGGTTGGAAAGCTGGAGTCAGGGGCCACGAGTTCAAATGCCCTCTCTGATGTTTACTACCTGTGAGAAATGAAAGAGTTAAGTTTCCACATAAGTAGGTAAGAAATCAGTACAGACAGGCTAACTTCTCTGTCGGAGTCGGGGGGGGGGGGGAGGGATCACACAATTCTAGGCACATAGAGTATGTTAGGGGTGGGGCACATAAGGAAGATTGTAACCCAAAAGGATTAGGACCAATACTGATCCAGAAGGAAGGAGTTAGGCAATTACTAACTATAAAGTTTGCCCTGGCTTCTTTTACTGTGCGTATTTCTCTCCTTCCAAGGAGATGCCCCTGCTTCTCTCGAGAATCAAACTGAGTCTGGGGCCATCTTTATAACACCACCTGAGCAACTGTGGGGAAGTCACTTGACTTTCCACACCCCCGGATTTCTTCACCAGGAAAATGAGGCTGGGCTTGTGGGCTCCCGAGGTCCCGTCAGCTCCAGCGCCAAGAGCCAGAAGGAGCCTCAGTCTTCTTAACTGCCAAATAAGGGGTGTTTCCCTAGACCTCAGGGGGACCCTTCCAGTTCTAGAATGATGATCCCACATGATTCCTCTTTGGTCAGAGACCTGTCTTAAATATGGACGACCACTCTCCACAGCAACTGAGGTGGTGATTTCTCCACATAAACCAACCATGGGATAGGATGATTGTCGAAATGAGCAGTCCTTCCTCCAGAAAAGACATCGTTTCACAGGCACAGGAATGAGACCTGTGGTTATAGGGAACTCCCAGAGGAGGAAGCCCCTCCCCTCTCTTCTACATCTAGCCTCACAAAGTTGCTTGGAGCTCTGAGAGGTTGTGGTTGGCCCAGGGGACAAAGTCAACACTCAGGGGCCTTGAACTTGGGGCTGCAATTGGAGAGTGCCTGTTGTTTTCTCCTCTCATCCTCACAACCCTGGGAGGTGGGAGTTATTATGATCCCCGTTTTACAGATGAAGAAGCTTAGGCTGAGGAAGGTTCAGTGATTTGCCTGCGAGCAGATCAGAGCTGGGGGTGGGGGGGAAGCTCTCTATCGAGCCCTTAGACTGCCAAGAACTCGGCTTCATGGTCCATGAGGGAGACATTTTATCCCTCCCCCCTTCACAACCTTGTAGATTAGGCTTTCAAAAGCCTTGTTTAATTTATGGGAACACACACACACACACACACACACACACACACACACACAATGAAAAAGGAGCCAAGACAATGACGGTGAAAAAACGAGGAACCAGGAACCTTCTCACACAGAGCACAGATGGTTCAGATAAAAACTTTTACTTCTTCCAATCTGGTGTAAGAGCAGAATCCATGTGGAACCACGAGGTCAGGGTATTCCTCTAACAATAACAGAGCATTCACATTCATTTTACTATCAAAATCACCATTTAGTTCAAGCAATCTCCAATTTCCCCACCCTAGCTAAACAAAAGGAAGCAGCACCCCCCCCCCATACTTTGGGGAAAGGTCGTAAGTAAGTCTCCTTCTCATCACACCACACCTAAAATCATAGCCTTTGTCCAAAGAAGAATTTTCACCAGGCACAATTCTTACACTGTCTCACAATTGTCATGGCCTAGCCTTGACCCCAATCCCCGTAGAAAGCTAGAAACAAGAGAAACTACCAATGGGTAGCAGCATTTCAGAAAATGGTTATGAATACATTAATGCAGTGATATCACCTGAATGTTATTATGGACAATTTGGGATTCATATTATCAAATATTTTAAAAAATGCAAAAGTGTCAAGGAGAGACAGTAATGAAAATAAATTGAGGCAAAAAGTCGGTTAGATACATGGTCTAAAATTATAGTGGACATCTGCTACAATGCTTCTTTGATGACGGCTTCAATTTCTTCAAACACCTTTACGGGTCCTTCGTAGTGATTCGTTTCAATTTCTTCTAACTTCCTCTGATAGTCAGAGGGCAGGCCGTTCTGTTTGGCACCCTTGCAGATGACCTGGAAATGGATGGAAAACGAAAGAGGGATTTCAGAAGGCCGGTTGGCTAGGATGGGCAGGGGGTAATTGTGTTCATACTACAGATAGCAGAGGCCTTTAAAGAAAATGAGTGCCTACATGCAAAGTATAAAATGCCTTGTTTTATACATTGAGCATTTAAAAACAAAAAGGATAAGCATAAACAAATAAGGATGTAGAGGAGGGGGAGGGGGGCTCAGGGTGTCAAGCACAGCATTTATCGTCAGATTTGGTTAACATGGGAGTTAATTTGGCTGAACTGGTTTTTCCCGATTTTCCTTTTTTATTTTTTGTTTTAAGGGATAGCTGTGGGTTGGGTGAATGGATACAGTGGGAAATGAAGGTGATGGAAAGGCAAAAACTATCAACAAAGCATTTTTAAAAATTCAATTCACACCCAGTCACTTCTCAAGCATTGATTCTGTGTGAGATGCAGTGCAGGTCACAGACAAAACCTACGACTGTCAGGGCTCTCATGGCGCTCACACTCCATCAAGAGGGCATGAATGTACAAAAGCTGTTTCCTAGTTGGGTCAGAGACAGAGAAGAGCGGTCCCAAAACACCTCTACTAATCTGATGGCATTTCCCCCATTGGGATTGCAGAGACCCCGCATATAGGCCCGGGGCTGTAAGCAGCCCTCCTCGCCCCTTACATCACTGTCCGGCTCTGAGGAATTACACCCAGAATCTCTTTGAGAAGTTTTAAGTAGAAACTGTCTCCTTCACTTCCTGCTGCCTGGTACTATGTCATGTTGCTGGCTGTCCTTCCTCTTTAAAGAGGACCATGACATCAGGGAGGTGACGCCATGACATACAAGTAAATTGGATTTAGGCGAGGGAGGGCTGTGTGGTCAGCAGCCTCATTCTCTCCTCCGGAGCCATCGGGGTCCAGTGGCCAGATACACTCAGGACAACTGGAGATGGCCCCCTGTGGTGTCGTTCTGTGATTGTTAAAATGTTATAACACTTAATTACTAGATGGGTGAAATGATCTCCCTAGTTTCAGCATCAGTATATAAAGACTCACCTTGAAAGACATGACTGTCACAAATATAGGATGTATCTAGAATCTGTCTAGTGCGTATAGGCTCCCCAACTTATTAACCCACTAACACCTTTTGCCCCAATATTTTCTGCATAGAAAGAAAACCCACGAAAAAGAACAGTTTAAATTACACCAGAGGCAGGCCTTGAATGCCAAAATAAGGGCTTCATTTTTCACCTAGGAGGTAATAGAAAGCCATTGGAAGTCACTGGGCAGAGGTCTGGCAGGTGCACTGGTGATGAGAAGCTAACCTTGGTATTTCTGTATTAGGTATCTATATTAAATCATGTATCTATATTAAAGATTCAGCAATCACTAGAATTTAGTACCTGACTGGATGTGGGGGTGGGGAGGAAATGAGAGGGAACAGTCAGAGATGAGCCCGGGTTCTGAGCCTAGCACTTAGCTGGCCGTGGCTGACTGGGAACAACTTGGCAAGAACCTATATGTTCTGCTCAGAGCAAACTATTTTTCTTTGATGTCTTTCTGGAATCATAATATGAATGAAATCATGTTTTCCATTAATATTTAAAAATTTTTTTAAATTGTTGATATCATCTTTACTTATAACCTTCACCTTCAAATATGTCTCTCCCCTTCTTCCTCACCCAGAAAGCTATCTCTTATAACAATAAAAAAGAAAGAGGAGGGACAGCTAGGTGGTGTAATGGATAGAGATCCAGCCTTGGAATCAGGAGGACCTGAGTTCAAATCCAGCCCTCAGACACTTGGCACTTACTAGCTAGGTGAGGCTGGGCAAGTCACTTAATCCCAATTGCCTCACCAAAAAAGAAAAAAAAAAAGAGGAAGAAGACAACTCAATCAGACTACAGCAACTCAGTCCTGTAGGACACAATGTTCTACACCCAAAGTCACCACCTAAGCAAAGAAGTTTCCCATTATAAAAATCAATTTGTGTTTTCAGAACACATAAGAATTTGTCTTCTTTTATTTCTGTAAATAAAAGGTGTTCTGTAGTTGTATTTCTAGATTTTAAGTTAAATTAATTTTTTTAAAATTAAGAGATAATTACTTTCTTAAAATATGTTTTTTTCTTTTCAATAAGATTCACCTCAACACATTTGGTAAACTTTCACTCTAGGCAAAAGCCAAAAGAGCTGGAGGGCTGAAAAGCACTGGGGGGGGCCTGCAGATTAGGGATGGGCATTTAGACAGCACCTACTTCGTACCCGGTGAAGCTGTGCTAACTGCTTTATAATGATACTGATGCTGTTAGATAATGGCTAGCATTACTATAGCACCTACTGTGTGCAGGGCACTGTGCTAAATGCTTTACACATACTGTCTCCTTTGGTCCTCACAACAACCCCGGGAGGGAGCTGCTGTTATTTTCCCCATTTATAGATGAGGAAACCAAGGCAAAGAGAAGTGAAGGGATTTGCCCAGCTAGTGAGTGTCTGAGGCTAGACTGCAACTCAGCTCTCCCAGCGCTCTAACCACTGGGGTGCCAGTTGCCTACAAAGGGGGATAATAATAGCACCTCCAACCCAGAGTGATTGTGAAGACCAAATGAAATTCATCTAAAGTGCCTGGCACATAGTAGGCGGTGTATGATGGCTTATTCCCTTCTGCTTCCAGAACAAAACATAACATAATTAAGAAAACCAAAACGACACTGAAAATCCTTTTCTCTAATGACAAGTGGATGCCTATAGGATAATAAATTCAGAGCTACTGAGGCCTTCTGATATCATCTATTCCAACCCCTATGTTTTACAGATTAGGAAACCGAGGCTCTGAGAGGTAAGTGATTTCCTAAGGACACACAAGTCGTAGCAGCAGTCACTTGCTCGGATGTGGACCCACGTCCTGAGCTCCAAACCGTCCCTACTTTCCACACTACTATGCTGACTGACTAGAGACAGGTTTCCCCCTAAAACAAATCAGATTTCTTTCCAAACAGATATTTCCCGCAGGTCTGTGTTCCACCACTCCTTACCTTTTTATAGTGCGGTGAGGGGGGCGCAGGGACGTAATCTAGCATCTGGTAACTTCGGCAGGTTAATACTTTCCCTTCTTGATTGCGAACATCAATTTCTATCGGAATATACGTTCCACTTCCAACTCCTTCTTGTCTGAAACAGAGAACCAGATGTCCCCCATAAGCGGATTTTCCCAGTTTCATGTATTCTGCAAGATCCTTTGCTCAAAGTGGAGCACACACACAGAATGAAAATCCAGCTGTATAAAAAATACTGATTCTTTTAGCCTGGGGCTCTTCACCACGTGAGTGTCCTGGACCCCTTGGCAATCTAGGGGAGCCTATGGACCCTTTCTCAGAGCCATATTGTTAAATACATCAAATAAAATACAGAGGATTAAAAAGAAAACCAATTATAGCTAGATAGCGATCAGAACTTTTTTAAAAAAGCCTACAGATTGCAGGTTCAGGACCTCTACTCAAGACGTTTTTGGTACATTTATGTTCTAAATGTTTTTAGAAGTAATTTGGAATAGTGGGATAAGCGGCCTTTGGCCTTAAAAGCAAATCATTTAGACCAGGTAAGCCTGCAAATGAATATGACTTCACTTGTAACTCTCAGCTTCTCTTATCAGAAAAATAATATATCAACACCATGCTGCTAAGTAGTTATTGCAATCTATGCACCCCTGCAATATTATTCCTTTCTGCTATGAAATAAATGTATGGAACTTGGCAAAAATGTCTATCTCTTCTAAAGAGAGAGAGAGAAAAAGGTGTCTCTAATTCCTACTGAAGTATCTGACATTTTATCAAGAACAGCTGATCCATTCCTCTCGGCCTCTTGGGCCCCTCTCCCACCCCAGCTTGGTAGATGATTGCTACCGCATGCACTAGAGCAGAGTTCAGAAAGGACTAATGACATAAAGAAGGATAGCTCCCTTAATGTTTACATCACTGCATGACTGTTCTAGACCACTCCCATCAGAAGTAAATGGCATTTTATAAGAACCGTTCCAATAAAGCTAGGACATCTTTTGAAATCTCTAAGAAATAGGCAACAAATTATGTTTAAAACATTCATTTTTCAGAATCTAAAGTAAAAAAATTTCTAGATATGTATTTATTTTCCAAAAGTCAAATGACTACCAAAAAAAAGAAAGAAAAAGAAAGAAAGGCATTTATCTTCAGATGAGTCAGAAACTGCAAAGGGTCCCCCCTCCAAGGGCTCTGAAAAAGAAATTACATTCTGCTGGAACAAGCCTGATAAATTGCAAAGTACATCACAGACATGTGAAAACAAAATCAACCCCTTGGTATAAGTTTGGTTTAAAATAATTTTAAATAGAGCAGGCCCAACATCCCTATAATTAAAAAAATAAACACTTTGAGATGCTACATAGTATTTTCTTTTCTTTTTTCCTCTTTCTTTTTTTTCTTTTTCTTTTGTTTTTTTTTTAATGCTACATAGCATTAAGAAGTCAACAAGCATATGTTAAGTGCCTGATGTACGCCAGGCACTGGGCTAAGCACCATGAAGAACCCAACGTACACATATTCTTTCTAAGTTAGTATTATTTAAAGTGTAATTAGGAGTCACCTACTCATCCAGAGAACTTATATTTTTCACGTGCATTTTCCATACGACTCCCCAAACTTCATCTCCAGGGCTCTGAACAATAGTAGCTATACCTCCATGCCAAGAGGTACTTGTTACACCCTGATAATTTCCAAAGTCAACTTTGAAATCCTGTAAAGGAAAACCAGTGCAATTATGATCAGTCTTTGGTTCTGCTCCGAGATCCCCTCAGTATCAAGATTTCCTTTTAAGGCTGTCCTATCCACAATACGGACTAATGAGCATTTTCTCATCAATGGCAAACATTGTAGGCTCCTCCACTTTTACGGTCATTTAATATCCAAGGAATTCTTTACTGGTCTGCTTTGTTCTTTCCCCTAGAGTGGCTTGCATTAAAAGGAGGTTCTGTATTCTATACACAATCCATCCATCAAACCCTTAACTAAACATACAAATACCTTTATTCCTGTCTCTAAAGATTTCGCTTCCCTAGTGGATTTTTGTGCCTATACTCTGAATAAATACCAGTGAAACTGACAATCAGTCTGCAAAGACTGTCACAATCGGCTGCCAATTGTCCTCAGCTGGCTAGTTATCTGCCAGACCTTTCTGGAAAGGTGGACACAGACCTAGTTATCACACAGGATTTCTGCTGGACCTCACAAACTAGATTCATCTGGTTTACTGACTATTTGAAGAAGCAATCATATTAGGGGTTGCTGGCCCAAACGGTCACCCTGTTTCCTCTCTCCCCCTGACACACCCACACACACCCACACTTCACTCTGTTGGTCACCTACTGCTACAGGCTGCAAAGTGGCTTTTTAACATCACCAAATCTGGGATTTCACGGCTGTGTAGACACTTCCCAGATCACGATACCTCTCCACTTTAACAGACCGCCATGAGCGACTTTTTTTTTAGTTCAACACCTGGTGGCCAACCTTCTGGTGCTGTGCTCTGGTTGGCCCTCCAATGACAGTGCCTGGTAGGCCACAACCAAAGCCTTTTTTAGATGAAGAGGACTGGGCAGGGCTAGTAGGGTGACTTCAGAAACTCTGGGTCACCCTCAGAGAAGGACAAGACATGATTCCAGCAACTAGGTGGTGCAGTGGGCGTAGTGCTGGGCCTGGAAGAGCCAGGAAGACCTGAGTTCAAATCCAGACACAAACATTTCCTAGCTGTGTGACCCTGGGCTTAGCGGTATAATGGGGACAATAACAGCACCTCCATCACAGGGCTGCTGTGAGGACAAAATGAGATATCTGTAAAGCGCTTAGCACAGTGCTTGGCACATAGTAGACAGTTAACAAATGCTTATCCCCCCCCCCTTCCAACAGAAGGGGCCATTAGAACAACCTCACCATGGCAGAGGTGGCCGGGCGCAGGACCCACACCAAGACCTTCCACTTCACAGCCAGGCCCAACTCCCAGGTGGCCCTTAGATTCAGGTCACTTTGCCCTTTGTAAATGGGGCACCGAGGGGTGAAGCAGTGTGTCCCTGGTAATTCCTGTTCAGGAAGGGTAGACATGGCCACCTGCGGGAGGAGCAGCAGGGCTAGGAGCCCACAGCCCTTCTCCTTGTTACCTCCATGACCTTGGGCAGGGTACGGGTAGACAGGGCCCCGGAAGGGTCGGGAAGATCTTGGTTTGTATACCACCTCAGACAGACGGGGGTGGGTGGGGGGGTGCAAGGCCATGCTCTGTGCCTCAGTCTCCCCATCTGTGAAAGGAGGGCCTGTAAGGTCCCTTCCAATTCCAAATCTAGTTCTAGGATCCTGGGAGCTTGGCTGGGTCTCGGTCAGGTTCCGACTGGCCTCAGGCCAGCAGGTGAGCCCCCTCCCACCACCCCGGGCCAGGGGCCCTTGTCTGGCCATCCTCTGATGGGGGCCCCGTTCCGCGTCCCTTGGCCCACCCTGGGCAGCCGCGCAGGGGTCAGGGTCCTCTGGGCGCTGAGCCCAGCAGGGGCACCGCCTCATTAAACAAGAGCTTCGCTGGTGCCTTGGCTTTTTAGCGTCCAGACCCTTCCGGACGCGCCCCTCCCCCACGCCTCCCACGCCTTCCCAACCCCAAGCAGAAGGCTGTGTCCGGCAAGTGTCCATCCCTCCTCCGGGTTCTGATCCCATTTCACAGATGAGGACCAGCGATCCGCCCTCGGGGCAGAGGGACGGAGGGGGCGGAGGCCAGGGGTCCCAGCCGACCCGGCCAGTGGCAGCACTTGAACTCGGATCCTGCCTCGGCGCCCAGCTGGGCTACTACCCTGGGCCATGCCTTCCGGCCGTTCGGGTGGACGCCGGGTCCGACGACCATCGTCCAGCACCACTGCCCCCGTCCACTTCAGGGCCCCAGGGCCGGCCGCATGCCCCGACGGCGGGGGGGGGGGGCATGCCTCAGTTTCCCCGCCTGCCGCCCCAGCTCCCTGACCTTTCCTGACCTGCAACCGGGCCACGCAGATGAACTGGGCCGAGGGGTTCCGCAGCCGCAGCCGCTCCTTGAGCAGGTTGCTGCCGTAGGCGAAGTACAGAAAGTGCTCCCCCAACGCCCCGGGCTCGGCGTGCGCCGCCAGACCCCACGACTCCATGGACCGCTGCGCGCATGCGCGGCCGCCGGCGGGGGGAGGGGACAAGGGCCGGGCCAAGGTCCAGGCCGCGCCGGGCCTCCCTGCGGGGCCCGCGTCTAGGCTCCCTTCCCCGCCGGGTCGATCCGGAGGCCTCCCGGAGCCCAAGCGTATTGCCCGCGGTGCTCCGCTGCCCGCTCCCGGCCGGGGGACCGGCGGCACGGCGGGCCGAGGGCAACGCCTCCCCTGATTGGCCGCTGGCCCTCGGCTCGTTCGCGCAGCGCCCCCTGATTGGCCGACCCGGCGCCGGCTCCTCCTTCCACCTTCCCGAACTCCCGGCCCGCTCTTTTAACAGTTCCCAAACACAACTGTCCCCGGGCGTCTTTCTGATTGGTCACAGGAATCCAAGGCCCCGCCTCCCCTCTCCTTCCATTGGTGGGTGGGTGGAGTGGCGTGGTCGCGCAGGGAAACTCCGGCAAATGAGAGAGTGGGGAGGAGAGCAGGACAGGCACACCTGGGCGCTGGTCCAAGCTGTCTGGCCTAGATCGTGGGCTGGCCGAGCCAACTGGGGCACCCAGAAAGGCTTCTTGCAGGAGGTGGCCCTCGGGCTAAACCGAGAAAGGAGGTGAAGTTCCAAGTGGCGGAGGGGAAACATTGCGGGCGCGAGGGAGTGGCTTTTGCAAAGGCGCGGAGGCGGGAGATGGCGCGTCAAGTATGGAAAACCACGGTAAAGCCGGTTTGGCTGGACTGAAGAATGTGAGGGCAGGGGGTGGGGGGGAGGGGTAACCAGGCTAGATGCCAAGCGGTCCCTTTGTGGCTTATCGTCAAGGTGTCAGGGGAGGAGAGAAGCAGGCGAAGGACAGCCCCAGACGCTTCCGTGTGGAGGAGGGCTGCAGGGGCGGGAGAGCAGGCGCGTGTTGCACCGCCCGCAGGCCCGCCTCGCTGACCTGACTCCGGGCGGCCACCGAGAGGCAGGCGGAGCCGGCTCGGTCAGTTTCCTCCCCTTCGTCTCAGAGTTCATCGATGTTGGAGGCCAGCGGAGGCCCCTCATTTTGCAGCCGAAGGCCCTGCGGGGTCGGAGAGGGGAAGAAATTGTCGGAGAACTGGGATGGGGACCATGCTCTGCCCCAAAGTCCAGGACGCTTTCGTCTGGCCACAGGAGCTCTCAGGACCTCATTCTCCTCATCGACAAAATAGGGGATTTGGCCCCATTTCAGTGCTAGAGCTACACATGCGTGGGAGCCCCGCGCCTGGAGTCAGGAAGGCTCCTCTTCCTGAGTTCAAATCCGGCCTCGGGCACTTGCTAGCTGTGTGACCCTGGGCAAGTCACTGCACCCTGTTTGCCTCAGTTTCCTCATCTGTAAAATGAGCTGGAGAAGGAAATGACAAGCTGCTCCATATCTTTGCCAAGAAAACCCCAAATGGGGTCACGGAGAGTTGGTCACACTGAGACCACTGAACAACAAATGTTCACTGACCTCCCTGGCTTCCCTTAAGTCCCAACTAAAATCCCTTCTTTTACCGGAAGCCTTCCTCATCCTCTCTTAATTCCAGTGTCTTCCCTCCGTTGGTTACTTCCTTGCACGTTTGGTTGTTGTCTCCTCTGTTAGACAGGAATCTCCTTGAGGTCAGGGATCGTCTCTTGCCTCTTTTTGTACCCACCCCCCCCCCCCCCCCCCCCCCCCCCCCCCCCCCCCGTGCTTAGCACAGTGCCTGGCCCATAGTAGGCATTTAATACGTATTGATTGATTGAGCGCTATGTACAGATCCCTGCATGGAGAAAAGTGAGACCGCCCCTCTCTCAGGGAGCCGATGGGGAGACCACCCCTAGGGACAGTTCCAGCTGCAGCCAGATGGAGGAGTCCCATAGTCCTTGGGGGCAGCAGCCCCAAAGCAAAGGGTCCTCAGCGTCATCTCTACTCTAAAATCCTCTCGATTTCTGGTGCCCAGGACTCAGGGCCTTCGGTGACTGTGTGTGCAGCCCCTGCAGGAGCGGGTCCAGGCTGCCTCTCCATGGGGGCTGCTTCCCAGGAGGGCAGCTGAGGGCTCTGGGCCTGTGTTCAAGGTTCCCGGACTTGATTCCATGTTCGTAGAAAAGCAAACATGGTGGGAGCCTTTCTTAGCGACTCGTAGCTGAAGCCTTCCCTCTGGATTGTCTCGACATTAGAACAGGAACTCCTTGAGAGCTCTGGGGACACACACATAGAAAAGTGTGTGTGTGTCCCCAGCAGTGTATACAGTAAGCGCTTACTAAATGTCTTATTTCTTCTTTGTCTTGCTTATTCATTTATTTATTCATTGCTTTTTCATTATGTCTTATTTATTCATTGCTTCATCAAGCTTCTCTTCTCAAACTCGTTTTCTCGAATCATGCTGCCTTAAGGTCACTTGAGGAAGGCTGTGGCTTTATCAGATGGCTTCCAGTCTCCATGACGTCCATCAGGCACTTGGAAATCATATTGCAGTTTAAACGTACGGGCCGAAAAATCAGAAAGTAGAAGCTTATTTCAAGGTTTAATGGATCAGGGGACTGCCATCCATGGAGAGGACAGTCTGATTTCAGTAAGGCTGTGGGCCCAGACTCATGATGCCCTTATGGGCAAGGTGGAAAAAGATCAAGTGCCTGGTTGTGTTAGGTGGGCTTGTGGCCGGTTGAAGCAGTGTGCCCCGAATATCCAGTAATGTGGTCCAGCAGCATTCTGGGCTCTGGCAACTGACTGAGAAGACCTTGATGGCCACTGAAGAAATGCCCTGAGGGGAGGGAGCAGATACCGCTCTCCTCCCTTCTTTCCCCCAGGATCTCCGTAAATTCGCCATATGTAACTCCATATAGCTAACATTTATTAAGTACCTAATATGTGGCAGGCACTGTGCTTAACACCTTATGATTATTACCTTACTTCATCCTCATAACAACCCTGGCTGATAAGGGCTGTAATATTATCCCCATTTTACAGATGAGGAAACTGAGGCAAACAGGGTCACACAGTTAGTTTCTGAAGCTGGATTTGAACCCAGGTCTTCCTATCTCCAAACCTCGCACTCTGCTAGCACCTAGCAGCTAGGGGCCTAAAGCTTGTCGGCACAGTACTTGGCCCATAGTAAGTACTATGTTAACTATTAATATTAATAGTTAACTATTATCAGCTTTGTAGCATGCACAATTGTAAAGGGGTTTAGGAATATTCACCTTCCCTTCGCATCTGGGAAGAGTATTGTTTCAGAATTTCTCCTTGAATAATGCTCTTGAATTTCACCTTTTGGCTTTGTTTAACACAACTAAATCAATTTTTAACTTTCCCTAGAGATATGGGATTAAAAGGGTGTTAAGAATACAAATCACCTGTGTCCTTGTCAGACTGCTGGGTAGGCAGCTGGCCGGTGGAATACTCCACCCATCCGCTCATTTCCTGTTTATCCTCTTCCGAGAGAGCCCCAGACCTTTGGATAAAGTTGACCCAAATCACCACCTCTACTTAGCATCATTGCTGGGATCTTCTCAGCTGATTAGGTAGCTCTGGGTGTCCAAAGAAGCAATCAAAACCAGAGAGTTGCTCACGGGGGAACTGAGTAAACACTCCTGTTGATTGCACCGTATGGGGTCCGGTTTCCCAGGACCCAGGCAATCACCTTTCGGTGGCATTAGGAACCCACGGTTCCAAGCTAACTGAATCTGGCTAATGATTTGCCTTAAAACAAATGCAGAAGCTGTTTGGCAAAACTTCCTAGCTGGGTCTCCCCTTCCAAGGACAGAAGGGATGTTGGGCATAGTTGTTTTTGTGGGATCTTGCCCATTAGAAGGTAAATTCCATGAGGCTGTTTTTGCCTCTCTTTATATTCCCAGCGCTTAGCCAGGTACATGGTAGGTGCATAATAAATGCTTTCTGCCGTTGCTGCTGATGTCTGGAGTGGGAGTGGTCCTGGGTATCCAGGTGGTAGTTGCAGACCCATCTCCAGGTTACCCTCTTGGGGGCTTTCTCCCATGATGCTTTCTCCCCTCGAACAACATAGCTGCAAAGGTTTTCATCATTATCATAGTAGCTAACATTTATAATATTGAGTCTGATCTTGAAATGCTGGGGAGTACTTCATTACTGGCCTGTCCATCATCTCACTGGATTGCAGAAGAGTCTGGCAGAGAAGCATAAGATCTAATGATTCTTGGGGTTCTCTTGTGACTCCTGACCCTGTTACATACTGACTCAAGTCCATCGGTCTTCATCTTTGTTGTGACAAGGAAGTGAACATGCTAGTATCAGAGCAGTGCACTCATGGAAAAGAAATGTCCAGAACATCCAGAGAATGACTTCCCACGCTGTCCATCAGGCCTATCTGATGGGAGCTCAAGATGGCAGTGTGATGGAGACAGGAACACCTCAGTTAGAGGGCTTCCTCCACATGGGCAATGCAAGCGTTTCAAGAATGTATTTCAGGTCACAAGAAAACCAGTGGGGTGTTATAAATGGAGAGGGGTTTCTACCGATCTGGCTGTCTCCAATCCCACACTTTGTCTTGAGTGGACAATGCCGCAGGAAAGCCAAGAGGCAGTAGTAACCACTTCAAGTCTGTGCCGTAGGGTCCATCCAGTGACAGCAGAAATGTGTGCCTCTGGGGGACACAGCTGTCACCTAGAAACAGTCTCATTCTTGGCCCTCCTAGCTGTGTCTGAATCAAGCTGCCTCCACTCCCGCCATCCTCCTCAAGCATCTCCTACTAGAACCACCCAGTCTTGGTCTCTGGGCTCTGATAAATGAACTTTTCTCCTATTGTCTAAAACCAGGTTTCCATACCAGGTTCCAACCATTTCCAGCATAAACTTCCCTTCCACACCAGAAGTTTCTCACAGTGATGAAATCACACATGTCCATCATACCCCATCTCCAACCCAAAGTACCAGTAAAGTAGTTTACACGTTTTATGATTAGGCAACTACATGGAAACCTACCTAGTTGTCTTTAACAAGACCGGTAGATCCTGTGAGGCCAGTCAACTTTGAACATTTGAATACTGGCATTTACTTATGAAAACATTTTAGTGCCTGTAAATATTAATGAATAATTCTTCTGCAAAAAGAAATTTTTTCCTTCCAGACTTCCAATTTGGAGTGTCTGTTCATTGAGCAATTCCTTTTTTTTCACTGTAACTTGATTTTTAGTACTTTTAAAAATATAAATTAGCTTTTAAAATTAAATTTAATCACTAATAAATTGACAGGACAGATTATGTGGTGAGGTCTAGTTGTTACAAACCCTTGTGCTCATGTTTGATTGTTTTCCATTCTGCCGAAAGTCTTGGGAGCAACAGTGAACTTTATGCAGTCCTAGAATGAGAGAGTGATTACTTCTG